CAGAGATCTAGAATCACTTGGTTGAAAGCAGGTGATCAGAATACTGCCTTTTTACATAACATTGCAAATTGTCGCAGGAGAGACAATTCAATTTCGATGATTAAGGTCAATAACAGACACCTCACTCAACCTGCTTAGATAGAGCAGGCAATTTTAGAGTTCTTCCAGACTCTTTACTCTGCCCCTTTGAGCCGTAGACCGAGAATGTCTTCCCTTGATTTTTTTACCCTCTCATAAGAAAAGGTTGTTTAGCTCGAGCAACAGTTCAGAGAGGAAGAAATTTTTTTAGCTCTCAATGCTCTAGCCAAGACAAGGCACGGGGCCCTAATGGATTCCCGATTGCTCCTTTCAAGGAGTCCTGGGACACCTTTCGTCCTGAATTCCTTAAATTCTTCGAGGAATTCTTCCAAAGGGGCACTCTGCACAAAGCCATTAATGCAACCTTCATAGCTCTAGTTCCCAAGAAAGAAGGTGCTGAGGAAATCGAAGATTTCAGCCCCATTAGTCTCCTGAATTCCTCGTACAAGATCCTAGCTACAGTCCTAGCCTCCAGACTCCAACAGGCCCTTCCCTCAGTTATCTCTTCAACATAATCTGCATTTCTCAAAGATAGACAGATTCTTCATGGGGCCTTAGTAGCTAATGAGTGTATCCACTCGAGGCACCTAGCTAAGAAACCATGCCTTATTTTCAAAATTGATTGGGAAAAGGCTTTTGACCATGCGGACTAGTCAATTATTGACGAGACGATGGCTAGAATGGGGTTCCGATATAAATGGAGAATGTGGATGCGTGGTTGCTACTCACATCCACATTTCTCAATTTTTATCAACAGAACCCCTAAGGGTTTTTTCCCTTCTTCTAGGGGTCTCCGCCTAGGAGACCCACTTTCCCCTTTCCTCTTTCCTATCGCGGCGGAGGTCTTCAGTCGCTCAATCTCCCGGCTCTACGAGACTGGTTTGTTGTCGAGCTTCAAGAGTAGTTCACTAGGACCAATGGTGTCTCATCTGCAATATGCAGACGACACCTTGGTGTTTATTGATGCCTCCTGCAACGAAGTTGGAACCCTCAAACTCTTCCTTAGGTGCTTCCAATCAGCGACTGGGTTCAAAGTCAACTTCGAAAAATTAAAAATGTTGGGTGTAGCCCTTTCATCAGCAGAGGTCAAGTCCTTCATGTGGGAATGTAAAGTAGAAGACTTACCGACTTCTTATCTATGCCTACCTTTGGGATTGGGTAAACCCAAAAAAAGACAATGGTCACAGGTCCTAGACAAAGTAGACAGGCGTCTAGCTGGGTGGAAGGGTAGATTTCTCTCTTTGGCATGTAGAAAGACTTTGATCAATGCTATCATTGCCAACTCCCCGGTCTACCTCATGTCCCTATTCCACATGCCAGCCCAAGTTGCCAATCGACTTGACTAGATCATCTGTAATTTTCTTTGGTCGAGCTAGGCGGATAATACAAAGTTCCATCTTGTAGCATGGAATAACATTTGCCTACCCAAGCAGCAAGGAGGACTTGGCATCCGTATTCTTCGAAGACATAACCAGGCACTCCTAGGGAAATGGTGGTGGCGTCTAGCCACCCAGCCGAACTCCCTTTGGGCTCAAATTCTACGGAAAAAGTATCACATCCCAGATGGTGCCTGGCTGCCCTCTAGAAGTCACTGGCACAATGCTTCAGGGGCCTGGAGATCTTTAGTTTCGGCCCTTTCACAGTTCAGAAAGTTCATTAGATAACATCCTAGAGAGGGCTATAGAGTGAGATTCGGGTCTAACTTGTGGTTAGAACCCTCCACTTTGAAAGAGTTGTTCCCTACCCTCTACTCTCTGGCTCTAAACAAAGATTCTTCAGTTGCAGAGGAGATGGTCCTAACAGGGGGTCGGAGAGTATGGAACCCTTCCTTCCGTAGGAATCTTACTGATGAGGAATTTAACCATTTTCAGTCTCTCTCAACCTCTCTTCACTCCCACTTTCTAGCGCCTCAAGGAAGTGATGCTATCTTCTGGAGGCTAGCTCCATCTGGCATTTTAGCTCCATCTGGCATTTTTTCGGTAGCTTCTTTCTACAAAGGATTAATCCTACCTCCTACTCTTCCGGCTAACCCAACTGCTATCGAATCCAAAGTTTGGGCCACCATTGCTCCTCCAAAAGTCCAAACCTTCAACTGGCCAGCCTGCTCCCATAGAGCACTCACCGTGGACCAACTTCAAAGGAGAGGAATCCCACTTCCCAACAGATGTGCTCTATGCTTATGTGAGGAGGAATCGAACCAACATTTGTTTATTTTCTGTGACTTTACTTTCGATCTTTGGGGTAAAGTATTGCAACTTTTTGGCATTCAATGGGTTACTCCCCCCTTCGGTCCAGGCCTTTATCTCTTACGATTGGGCAAAGGCAGGAAGATTGCTATGGAAGGCAACAGTTGCAGCAACCATATGGTTCATTTGGTTGGAAACGAATCTTAGAATCTTCCAAGGCGTTAAGCTACACACAACAGCTCTCTTCCACAAGATTATCTCGTTGCTTACTTTTTGGGTCTCCAATCACAAGGTTTTCTCGGGCATCCCTAGGTATTTTGTCCTCACCCAATGGACCAATCTTCTTCACCACCAACCGAGAGTGGCGACCAAAAATCAAACCTGGCAACCACCGCCCCAAGGAAGCATCAAACTGAATTTCGATGGGTGCTCCTTAAGGAACCCTGGCTCGGCAAGGGTCGAGGGGGTCTTTCAAGATCACCAAAGCAATGTCCTTTTAACCTTCTCAGAGATATAGGTATAAAGGACTCCAATCATGCCGAAGCTCTAGCCCTAATAACTGGCTTAAAACTCTTTGATCCTTCTTGGGGCCTTATTCTGCTAGTAGAAGGGGCTTCCTATAATGTTATCTCCTGGGCAAGGAGAACGAGCTCTCCACCATGGTACATAGCCTCATTGTTTGATGAAATTGACCATATATGCAAGGATATGGACGTCTCCTAGAGGCATATTTGGAGAATGTCCAATGACTTTGCTGACATATTGGCGAAAGAGGGTGCTAGAAGCCAGGGCCAAGGACCAACGCTACCCGGGTCCGACTCCTTTTTTGCTCAGGACAAAGGTCTCTCAACTTAGTATGGCTCGCTTTTTTGGTTTTTTCCACTCAATGTATTTTTGCAAAAGCTTACTGCATATCGTTGTAATTGGGTGGCCTTATAAGCCCTCTTTGTATATGGTAGGCTAGCAATTTTTATCGAGTCACCCTTCTCTAGGGTGATCTCCTACCTCTTTGTAACTTTCGACAGCAATACAATGTTAACATTTATCAAAAAAATAATAATTATCTGTAGTTGAGGAAATAGATCTGTGCTTGAGGGTTGTTTGTCTGCCATTTGACTCTCAATGAAAAATTGGCAAAATTCACTAAAATTTTGAGTAGTGAAATTTACTGAAATTAAAAAAAAAAAACAACCCTCTCTCTCTCTCTCTCTCTCTGACACCAAAAAAAACTCAGCCTCTCCCACCTTCATCTCTCTCTCTCTACAACCTCCCCCTCCATTAAAACTGCACCTCTCTCTAAAATCCTATCTCTCTTATCTCTCTCTCAAACTCCCCTCTCATGTTCCTACGACCTCCCCTATGCTGCACTCTGCGCACAGCCAACTGCATCCAATCAATCAACTCCATCCATGAGGCTCTACTAAAGCCAAAACACAGGAAAGCTATGACACAAGGAAACAATCACTCTGCTTTTGCAATCGCTTTCCCTCGGCTACTATACTCTGCCAACTAAACAATTAGGCAGCCAAATGAGCAAAACCAGTCACGATAAGGTTCTTTCCAGGTGGTAGTTTGGTGATGATGGGCGCTTTCTTTTGGGATTTTGAGTAGTTGGGGTTGTTGCTTTGCTCCAAGAATGTATGGTGGCAGGGTAGTGATCGGTTCAAGTTATTATGTCTTCCATCCATTCAAAAAAGCAAACCAGTCAAGATGGAGGTTCACTGAAGGTACGCAAATTGAAGTAAAGCCAGTTATGATGGAGGGTTCACTAACGGGACCCAATATGAAGCAAAGCCAATCAAGATGTAAAGTTCACTGAAGGGACCCAAATTGCTTTCCCTCACTGCAGCAAAAACAGCGAAAGGATTCACTGAAGGGACCCAAGTTGCTTTCCCTCGCTGAAGCAACACCAGCCAAAGGATCCGAATTGAAAATGTCAATCTCTTCAAACACCCAAGTTGAACCCCCAAATTAGTAACATATAGTTTATAAATAGCCAAACTTCAAACCCTCACATCCAACAATGGCTAATTCCATGAACCCTAATCTGAGAGCAATCCGCAGATCTTGTTGCCTGGCTGAGATTGCAGTTCCGTGAGAGACGCGAGATGAAAGCCCTAATTCCAGAGGTAGAAAGAGGAAGAAAGAAATAATGGAGATTTTGTGGGCCTTAGAGACAGAAGAGAGGCAGAAGAGAGAGATGGGGGCCCTAATTGTAGAAACAGAGAGAAAGGAATGGTGAGATGAGAGATAGCTTTTGAGCGGAAGGGGTAGAGGGAGAGTGAGTGACAGCGGTTGGGTCCATCATGGGCTTTTCTGGAGAGAGAGTGAGTGAATGACAGCTTTTGGGTCCATCATGGGCTTTTGTAGAGAGAGTTGGGGACGAATAGAGGGAGGGAGTGAGAGAGAGAGAGACAGAAGCAATTTGGGGATGAAAAAACGAAGAGGTCATACCCTCTTTTCCTTTCATCCGTGATTTCGCCCTCAAACCATGGATAGGATTTTATTTGTCATGGGCATCCACATGTGCTCTATACGATAAATTACCTTTATATTTGTCATCCATCGTTTGCAGTGGAATCTAAACATGCCCTAAAGTTGTTCACATTTACATTTTCTGAGCTTAGCAGATATAATAAGCCCAAAAAATAATAGTAGTAATAATAATCAGTAAACCATAACGTCATGTTATAAGTCAAAATATGAATAGTAGAGATCTATTCCAACATACATTACCTCTCAAAGAGTCCCAGTTTGAGAATTACATCAGCTAGATTAGTATTGGCCTTCCCCACTAGTTGAAAAAGTTTCTTCCTCTGCATGGTGAAAGTTCCTGTTTTCTCCATGCCTCGATTAATATCTGTGAATTCTGCAACCATCCCATCCACCTAAGAAAGAAAAATTAAATGTTAAAATGATTATGGTACTATTAGGCTCATCAAGTGTTGTAAAACTTCTGAATTTGTAAAAATGTGTCCGAAATCACCTGACGAACATAGTAATCAAGTGCAATGCTTTGGCCAAGAACACTACCGATTGTGCGAATTCCATCAATATTGAGATTTTTTAGCATTATGTAATCAAGCCCTCCTTGCATCCATGTCTCCAGAGTTGGCTTCTCTACAACGGCATAATCTATCACAGCAATCATGTGCGACAAATCCTTTATTAAAGTATATAAGAGAACCATAAATTATGGCTCTCAAATCCACGTTCATAAAGACAAACGAGAAGAAAAGAAATATTGTGAGAATGACATTGATGCCTTTTAATTTCTTTCCCTTTACCTGATTGAAGAACAACTGTTAAAAATGATGAAAAGCTTCAAGCAGAGGAGTCTTCGAAAAGTTTTAGCTACATGTCTTCACTATCTGTAATTTCAGAGTCAGATCTTATGTCTTTCTTGCTAGATCATTAGCCATTATAACCCCAGCATTTGAATTGACTCTCAATGCTTTAAAAAGCGGACCACCCAGCACTTAGGTGGTCCAAAAGGCCTGGACGCCTCGCCCAGGCCTAGGTGCCCAAATTAGGCCTGGGTGGCCGCCTAGGGCTTGTGCCCTGCCCAGGGTGGAAATGCCCCTCGTTGAGGGCATTTTTTGTTTTTTTTTTCTAATACTAAAGGGGGAAAATCGTGGGTTTTAGGTTGATTTGAAACCTAAACCCCATTAGAGCCTATTTTATAAAGAGAAAAACCCCCAAAAAAACTAGTTTTTGGTGATTTCTATAGGATCGATGGGTTTCTCAAAGTTACAAGAAATTGATCTAAGCATCACCCATTATATTAGATTTTGTGGACTATCAGACTATAGTCTCATGGAGTATGGAGGAGTGCGTGTTATGTGGACTGTGTACTCTACATTTGATGTGCCCTAAATCCCTAACGCTTATGTGTTATGCAGTTACACTTATACTATTAGACAATAGACACATTTTTCTTTCTACTGAACCGCCTAGGTTCTGAACGCCCGCCTAAGCACTGGGCAGCCTGGACCCCCCCAGCCGCCTAGGCACCGCCTAGTAGTTTTTTGAAACATTGTTGACTCCGAAATTAGATTGATACAATTAAGCAACTTTTTTGGATATTCAAGCAAAGGAAAAAAGCTAATCATTAATTCAGTAAAATGAAAGAGTAAAAGTAGATATTTCATGACCAGTAAACAATGGACAGAATGATTTTAATGAAGAACAGTTAAACAAGAAAATTTCATATTTTCTTAAAGTCCCATATTATAGCATCCCAAAGAATAATAAGCATCCCAAAGAAGAATAAGCAAAGCAAAGATTAGCATTAACAACCATCGTAACCAAACAAAAAGGCTGCTTCACCAGAAAAGTTGCCCTTGGCAACTGATAAAACTAGAAAGAATTGAAAACAAAACAAACTGATGAAATACTCCCATAAACGCCAGATGAACTTGGCGAGTTACCATTTCTATTGAATTTTTACTATATTCCTAGCAAAGTCAACTTTCTACTTAGCACTATGTAATTTCAGTGCCTTCTTAAATCTCGCCTGAGTTTACAAGCAAATTGAGTTTCCATAGGAGTCCCAAACAAGATTATAAAAATAGCATCTCCATCTTTCTTTTCTTAATTTGATTACTAAGAAAAATTTATCATGACAGTACAACGAACCAAAAGAGTGATAGTTTGACCACCAATAAAATGGATCTAGAAACCTGATAGGATGTCTTTTTCAGGCAGCAGCACGACTCTTAGAAGCAAAAATGTTTGATTCCAGTTTGTCTTGTGAAATGATACTTTGTTACACCTGTAAGACTAATGAGAAAATGGATTGATGCATCAATGAACTAAGTATGAAAATGGAGTCATCAGACTGGTCTATGGAAAGTACGTGACAGTTGCCATGGAAAATTTTGGAAAAACTCAAGGGTGTTGGTGGGCTATGATGTGACATCTAGCAAATCTTGCCACAAGTTGAGAGAACGACTCACAAGTTATTAATGCATAGAACATAATAAAACATGAAGAAGATTTGAAAACAAAGACAGTGGAGCAATGCTGATGAGAATAATGCAGAACATCAAATGGATCAGTTCATAAATTTGAATGAAATCTTTCTACCTACAATATAACTGCATCAAATACTAGAAAAGAAAGAAATTCTACTATTTCAAAAGGTTGATTAGCCTCTTCCCTGTCCACCATGTAGGCTTCCCTGATCTCCACTTCAAGAGATAGTTATCTGGAGGTCTAAAAATCAAGTACATCGCTAGGTAGCAGAATTGATCGCCACAAAGCATACCATGTTATCAAGGCTATAATAAAATATGGGCTTAACCATGATGATACATCAAGCTTAGTTCTCAAAGCTACCATTATAAGGACTATCCTAAAGGTTTCTCATTCAAATTGGTTTCCCTTTTCCTATTTATGTAAGGTCTCTAAAGAAATATACAGGTCTTATTCTCAAGGTTCTCAGCATCCAAATCATTCAAACCATGGTTTGCAAGCTTCAAAAAGCTCTCTATAGGCCCGAGCAGGTACCTTGGACCTGGTACATGATTAAAAAAACAAGGCAACTCATTGAAAAGGATCTTCCAAATTTGATAAAGTATTCATGACAACTAACGATCAAAGAAATCCCTATGAGAAACAACTGTCCCTCGGAAGTGGAAAGAATTCACCAGAGTCAAGATGAGGGCTGCTAAGATCTGTTTATCCTTAGCTCCCATGCATATGACACTGTGGTCAAATGGAGTATTCATCCATTATGTTTTAGAAGGAAATATCCCAAATATAATAAATTTCAATAGGTGATTCCTTAGGGTCTGCGACAACCAAAACATATCAATAACAGAAGACTGTAAAATAAAAATATACCATCCTTCCTCATCTCCGGGAGAATTCCAGAAGCATGCTTCTTAACAATTTCAAGATATCCGTCAACTTCATGATCAGCAACATTGAATAAGACAATGGAACCATAATGGAAAACTACCATATAGCAGTAGCTGCTCCCATTATCGATGCTGGCCTCCAAACCCTAAGACAAATATAATCATATAATCTGAATATTGATCATAATACCTAAACCAACAAGTAAATTTCTTCTACACGAAAAGACTCTTTTTTATCAACTTTTGCATGATTAAAATAATTCTGAAAAGCAAAAGAAATACAAACATACGGAAATAGTTTAGGGCTATCATGAACAAAAACCAGCAATTGCATAAAAAAACCTTGATTACAAGGAAGGCCCATACAGTTCAGCTCTCAGAAGAGAATATATTTTACAACAAAAATGGAACCTGCAAACATTCCTAACCATGCCATCCAATAAAAACATCTAGTAAAAGAACAGGGGGACCTTACTAGATCTCCTGTCAAGAAGTCAGAACATTCTTATGAGTCCGTTGAGTCACATAGTTATACTGATGACATATATCGGTTTATGAGAAGGATCTAAGATAGAATAGCTGATAGGAGAAGGCCAAAAATTGGGAGAAGCAATAAATAATTTTATAAAATCAACTTGGTGGTTGACACTTCCAATTGTTTTCACTTTTATCTAACACTTACCTGCAACCAATGATCGAAAAGTCATACACCTGGCTGCCAAGAGGGCCAGAAAAAACAAAATGCATAATAGCGGCCTAGGTAGCTATGTTCCTAGGCAGCGTCTAGATAATCTTGGACAAGGGCAGAAAAAGGAAACCCAGTTTTAGGAAAAGGTCATTAATCTCAAACCAAATGGACACCATTTGGGGATTTCTCTTTAATTTTCGATATGGGCATATGGCATTTGTGACTTTCACTGCATAGATTTTTTTTCTTTTCTTTAATAAGAGGGGACAATATATTAAGTAGTGAATTATGTTTTGCACTTTTGTTGCATTGTTGGGTTACAATATTGATTCCATACTAAACTTTGAGATTTTATTCATCCTTGGACAACTTGCTTTTTGAGAATTACTAAATACATTGTGCTTGAGTAAGCTTTACTTGCACGAATACTTATAAATGCTTGTTTTGTAAATGTCCTCCTTTTATTCGATTAGTTTGGTACAAGTTTAGTGCCTCACATCAAAAAATCCAGCTAATTGGGTATTTCCATATTTGTCTAATGAACTTATCTAGTTTCTTTATTGAATAATTGAAATTGATTTCTTGTATTGTATAGACCTAGACTTAAATTGGGTTACCTCATTTAATACTTCGATTTTGCATTTTTTCAGGTAAATTGATTAGGTGATACTATGGGTCGTGACAAATTGACAATGCCGTCAACTGGTTCATGTAGGCAAGTTGATCTAGGTTTGAAATATGGTTATTGTCCAAATCCAAATGACCAGAATGGGGTGGAGTGCAAATTATGTAAGAAGCCTCACAATGCCGGTATTAATAGATTAAAGAGACATTTGACCGGCATTAGAAGGGATGTGACTCCCTTCACTCAAGTGCCACATGAGATTAGGAGAGCGATGTTAGAGCACTTGCAGGGGTCAAAAAGAAGAAACAGGAGGCAATGAAAAAACTGATAGGGCTTGGGCAAAGGAGACCTCAAGCGGGGCCAATAGATTCTTACTTCCCACCCACCCTAATCCTTAAATTGCAGTGAGAGAAAGGGGGCAGACAACTACAGAGAGACACTTAAAGAAAGAAGATAGGGATAAGGTCTCTCTATTTGTAGCTAAATAGTTCTATCAAGAAGGCAGTCCATTTAATGCCGCTAACATGAGAGCTTCCTAAACATGTTGGAAGCAGTGAGTCAACTCAGGCTAGGGTATAAGGCCCCATCAGCTTATGAGCTCAATGAGCCACTGCTTAGAAAAAAGGAGGTGGAACTTACAAATAATTTTTTGAAGAACCATAGGGACGTGGGGATGAATAGCACCACTATGATTGATGAATGGACTAATAAGATAGATGTACGTATTATGAACTTGATCGTGAATTATCCATTAGCAACAATTTCTTCAGATCCATAGAGGCATCTAATAAGGTCCATGATTCGAGTTTTTTTTTTTTTTTAAGTTAGTGGATTAGTGTATGGAAGAAGGGGGGGGATAACGTGGTCCAAGTAGACTGATATGGTTATAGGCCCCCTATGGCAGAGGGCTATGCGTCGCAATGCATAGACCCCAGGTTTGAGGCTATCAGGAGGGTAAAGGTGGTGATGACGATGTTGAAAAAAAAGATCTAAGTTTAATCTTGAGTTCTTAACTTCTAAAAATACTTATATTAATATGATGCCCATTCTCAATTGGCTAGGTCTTAACCATAATGGGGAAGTAAACAAATAACAGTATTGGTGAGGCCTGGGCTACTAGATTTGCCACCACCTATTTGTCTTTGTTATCCATATTGGAACAAAAAGAAAGGCATAGGGCCATGTTTGTTTCAGAAGATTGGACCAAAAGCGAGGACAAATGGGAAAGTAATGGTTAGTATTGTTTTCAACTCTCGTTTTTGGAATAGGGTTCAATCTGCCATAAGTGCTTTTGGCACATCGGTGAAGGTATTGTGGTTGGTGTATAGTGAGAAGGAAGGGGTAATTAATCACATTAATAAAGCAATGGAAGTTGCCAAAAATGAAATCAAGAAAATTTTGGCAATGATAAAAACCATAGTGGTTGGAAATACCTAGGAAACCCGAATTGTTTTAGGATTCAGAATCGTGGAATTGTGGCTAGCTAGAAGGTTCCTATATTCAGAATTGACGTCCGTGCAATAGGAATCGCGGGGAGTGAGATTCCTATCTTTTGGGAATCAAGAATTGACCAAAATGGAATTGAGATTCCGCCACATATGGAATCAAGATACTAACCTCCTTGAAATTGATGCACCATGGGAGGTTATCGACACTAACTCGGCCTTTGTTACACGCATCTTCAAAGAGACCTTGTGCAAGGGTGATGCTGCCGAAATGTCGCCGACCAAGTCTTGAGAGGGGGCAGCTCAAGGTTCATACACGAGCATGACAAGAGGGCTTGACTCCAAGTCCAAATTACCCTTCCTTAAAATTCTATCCCAAAATACCATTAGGAATTCCTAACTCCAAGAATCAAAAACTCCAAAAATCAAGGGAAAACGTGAACTACAGACTTCCGAACCGAAATATTCATGAGCTCATCCTCAAGAATTAGGAGGGTACACGGTCCTCTCGTGAGTGGTCGGCTTCTTTAGTCATCTGAGATTCCGCCTCATTCTAGACTGATAGCATGACAAAGTCTCAGCGAGAGGGCTTCCTCGGGTACCAAATGCCGGTGGTCTAAGGGGGTCCAAGTTCTGCCAGATCCGGGAGCGTCCCCCCCCCTCCCCCCTTTTTGTATTTGTTTCTCATAACAATAAAGTTGTCAGTTTTTGTCGTGTGCCTATGTTCTACATCCGCTTTACCTTGGGCATAATCCAATCAAAAGAGCACACACACGCACGGGATTCGAACCATACAATGCAATGCTGGCAATGCGACCGCATATGAAGGTGATGTGCCACATATGCGGGCACATCACATTTTCCACATAAAACAAAGCTTCACATAAAACACTTGGAGTATGTATTCTTCTTTCTTTTTTCTTATTATATGGATCTGTGAGAGAGAGAAGAACTCACATTGACCACTTGGAGTCTGCCAACGTTTTTCTTTATGTAGAAAGAGAGAGAGCATATGGCACCATAAGGTCCCATAGGTGGCTAGGTGGTCCCCCCAAGTACGTATCTTAATATGAAACCAAATAAGACCCCTCAGTTTGAAAAGCCCCCCGGGCCGCCCAAGCTAGTGAATTTTTTTGTTCACTAGATGTGATGTCATGTTTTGAGTCTTGTTGGTTTATGTATTTTGAGGTTTGTTGCCAATTTTTGCTTTTTTTGGTTTATGTATTTATTTCTGGTTAATGTATTTTTCTGGTTTATTTATTTCGTACATAAAGTGGTTGAGCAACAACTACAGCATGAAAAGAGTGGATCAGAAAACCAACTCGGTTTTATGCCAAGAAGATCAACAATTGAGGCTATCTTCCAACTTAAGCAACTGATTGAGAAGTCTAGGGATAAGGCAAAAGACCCCTATATGGCCTTTATTGATCTAGAAAAATCTTATGAAAGAGTACCTCGAGATTTAATTTGGTAGTTATTGGAAAAGACAAGAGTCCTCAAATACTATATCAACTTGGTGAGAGATATGTACAAGGAAGCACTAGCTAGAGTGCAAACAACTAGTGGAGAGACGAGTGAATTTTTCGTGACAGTAGGTCTACATCAGGGGTCTACATTGAGCCCATATCTCTTTGTCTTAGTTATGGACGACTTAACTAGGCACCTACAAGATGAGGTACCATGGTGTATGTTGTTCATGGACGACATAGTTTTGATTGATGAGATCCGTAGGGGTGTCAACACAAAATTAGAACTTAGAAAGGATGCTCAAGAATCTAAAGGTTTTAAAATTAGGGAGACTAAAACAGAGTATATGGAATACAAGTTTAGTAATAAGTTTAGTAATAATAGGAGTAGAGTCGAGAACGCAGTTAAGATTGACTACCAAGAATATCAAAAAGAGCAGCACTTTCGATATCTTGGGTCGACAATCTAGGAAAATTGAGAGATTGAAGAAGATGTCGCATAGAATTAGAGCTAGGTGGGCAAAGTGGAGATGTGAAACCTAAGTTTTACATGATTATCGCATACCAATGAAGTTGAAGGGTAAGTTATGTAGGACAATTGTGAGACCGTCTTTGCTTTATGGGGACGGAATGTTGGGCGTTCAATAAACAACATACCCATTGGATGAGTGTAGTTAAGATGAGGATGTTAAATGGATGAGTGGCAAGACAAGAAGGGATAGAATTTAAAATGAATACAATCGGGATAACTTAAGTCTGGCCCCAATAAGCAATAAGATGAGAGAAAGTAGACTTAGGTGGGCTGGCCATGTGCAGCACATGCCCAGTACGGCACCTGTTAGGAGGTGCAAGTTGGTTCAAGTGGAAGACTCAAAAAGGATAAGGGGTAGGCACAAGAGGACATGGTTGGAAATAGTGAGAAAAGATATGGGAACCTATGGCCACACTGAGAGTATGGCCCTTGATAGAGAAAAATGGCGTATCAGGATTCGTGTAACCGACCCCAAATAGTTGGAAAAAGACACTGTTGATGATAATGATATTCATGTATCTTGTATATGCATATGTGTGTATGTATCTATATATTTGTCAAAAGGTTCATTTGGGAGGTTTTGGGATCCAATCCAAGCCCCAACAAACACACCCTAGAGGGCCTAAACGCCTTAATTATGATTGGGCTGCCTAGGTTTCTATGTGCCCATCCAACCTCATAGGTCCTACATCCGAATTTTTTGAACATTAACAACCACACACTCAGCGGTGCTCCCAAGTAGCATCCCCACGAATATTTGTCGGCGATTCCTCATGTAAACGGCCTATTTTCCAACTCATCTCCTAGAGATGTTCTAGGCATTCCCAACAATTAAGGAATAAAAATACAAGATGTAATCATTTGAAACCATGAGATCAACATTTCAGCCTCATTCAGCAACTTCTTCATTTATTACTAGGAGGAGTTCTAGGGTTGATCTCCATAACTTCTTGGTTTTAAAGGCGGGGATTATGTTTACAACAGTTGGCAAAACATTTGGTCTGTCCATTTCCTGCTATTAAAATAACGTCATTTATACCCACCGTTGTTGGTTCTAAAGAATTATTTATGTTTACCACGTTACCAAAACATATCACTCATATTAGTAGATTATCTGTTCCTCAAAAAAGTACATATTTAATTTTATGGCATTGCTTTCACTTTTCATTTAATGATTGCAGCTAAGAACGATAGGGAGATTAACATCTTCCAGACTGATTCTAGTAGTAAATACATGTCGCAAGGACTTAATAATTTTCTTCAATATTGAGGGATGATTCACATATGATCTAATCGACTGACATCAAGGAAAAATGGCACAGATAAGTAGAAAAATATCATATAACATCATGTAAAGGAGATTATCAGCTCACTTTGATCACCCCTCTATTTATCATAACCTTTAAGGCTTTGGACAAAACAAGTTGTAACTTTTGTATGTAATTAACAAGATGCATAAACCCTTGCTCCACACATTCATGGTTGTACAAATGCTCCACTAGACATCAACAATAGCACTCGTTAGGAAGCATTTTCTTTTAATTAATTCTGACTTTTCCGGAGCTACCTATTGTAGCCTCCTCTCAGTATGTCAAACAGTAAAAGGATTAGCATAAAGGATCCAGCATCACATAACCACCCATCCCCAGCCATGTTACATCTCTAGAAAGCGCCTGTATATAAATATTACTTGATTGAATGTTTATAGCATCTCAATATTTCTCAGGGACTCTTCCCAATTTTTCTTACGAGACAACGGCCCAGGACTCTCAGCAACATGAAAGCAGTACATCAAAATACCGGACATCTATGGGAGATCTATAGATCCCAAACTTTATAGTAATTTGGCCAATCACAGAGTCCAAAAACTTGTGCATGACCAACGTAACAGGAAGAATCAGAATCGCTAATAACAGTAACTTCACTTCAACAAACAGTAAGTACGGACTTTCATCAGTTGTTGTGCCATTGTTTAACCAATCCATTCAATCTAGGAATTGGTCAATGGCATACCACATTTGACATAAAACATTGCAAGAAATGTACCCAAGCATTTTAACAGAAAAATATTAACCAATCAAAAAAAAAAAAAAAAAGTTCAGGAGAAACAAAAAAAGAAAAAAAAAATAGAGCGCTAACAAAACAAAGGAGGGAGAAATTTAGAAGGCCCAATACTGTAAAGGAATAAGAAACTTACAGTGGGGTCAGAATTGAAATTAGAGTATCTCAGAACAATGTAATTTGTCGCTCTTGAACTTGGGGGTATCACATTGAAAGCATTCTCCGTCTGCAAGCTCCTCAGATCAATGCTGCATCTCTTACAACAAACGTTTCATCAGAAACCATTTCCAATTCAATCCTCTAAAAGGAAACATAAAACCATTCAGTTTTCCCAATATCCATCTTAATTATTTTATAATTCATTTTCAATTCCTTGCAGGAATCGGAAAAGTTAAAGAAAAATAAAATAACATAAAATAAAAATCTTTTCAATTCTTCTCAAACATTCTTTCACAAGTTGTTTTTAGATCCTTCAAAAGCTTGAAATAACCAGAAACCCCACAATTCTCCGACGAGCACTTTCAATTCTTTCACAAAATTAAGCTAACAAGGAGACAGAGCACACCTGGTACAGAGAAAATAGGCCTTGACAGGAATGAAACGGCTCTGTTTCTCTTGCTGAACCTCGAGCAAGTGCTCATGATAAACATCCAGACCATCAGAGCTCGAATTCGGGTCTTTCCATTCCAACTCGTGTGAGCTTGATGACACAGAAGAAAGAGAACGAAAGTCTCGAGCTCCATTCTTGAGAGACAAGAGAAGGACATTCAATCGGCAATGAGGAGTTGCAGAATAAATGAAGCTCCTAGTGAGGTATGAGATTTTCGGTTTGCAAAGGGGAGCTGGGGAAGGAAGGCGAGGGCCTGAAAACCTTAACTTTGCAGAGGAGGAGAGCATAACCCTAGACTGATAGTAAATGCAGCGGGCTCTCCACATTTCAAAGAGTAACACTGAGACCATGCGTCGGCCCGGTATGGCAAGAGAGAGAGCGAGAATTAAATTACATGACATGGCGGAAAGGAGTGAATCCATAGACTCCATACGCTACGATTTCATTTGTATGGTTCGGGAGGCGCACGAAAAAGTATGCGAAAGAATGGAACAGTTTTAATTTAAAAGCTCGTATCCTATGCTCCTTCGGGAGCATAGTTTACTTCTAGAAAAAAGTACAAAAGACCCTGTGACTACATTTTTCCATGCAACTTAACCCAACCAAAGTTTTTCTCTCTTCTTTCCCCAAAGTACATTTTACAAAATACCTCCAACCAAAACTTAACAAAAAAAACCTAAATTACTCTTCCTTACTTTTTACCTTGTTGAAACTACCTTCCCTTATTTTTACCTTACCGACACATCACTTTTCTATCCCATCAAAATAGGAGCTCTAGTACCCACACCTCTCCCTCCTCCAAAATAGGGACTCCAGCATTGTGTAAATGTGGTTCTGGAATAGAGTTCCGGTACTATGTAAAGTGCAGTCCGGCAATAGGGCTCTAGCATTGTGTAAAGTGCGGTCCGACAGTAGGGCTCCGATATTATGTACAGTGAGGTCCGACACACATCGACATTATGTAAAGTGAGGTCCGACAATTTCAAAGGGCGATCCGATAGTAAATGTTACTGGATTCCAGGACTCCAACACTATGTAAAAGAAGGTCCGGCAGTACTCAATTTTGGTGCGGTAGTTGTCTTAAGGCGATCCGGCACTTGTGCACTCCAATAATGTTTCGGTGCGGTAGTTGTCTTAAGGTTATCCGGCACTTGTGCACTCCAATAATGTTTCAGTGCGGTAGTTGTCTACTCGGGTCCAAAAGTCAACCTCAAATGTGGCCAAATTGATTTTTGTGTACGGCAAGGGCATTTAAATCTAAAAATTGAATTTTTTTTCTTTTGGGGTATTTACATAGAAAGTTTGTTTTGGAGAAAAAGTAAAAAAAAAAGTTGGGTTGAGGGTAAGTTGTATAGAAAGTGTGATCTTATGGTTTTTTGTAAGTTTACCTTACTTCTATTCCCTCTTGACTTAAGGAAGGATTTTTTTCGATCTAAAATTTTTAGGGTGCCATTTGATTAGAGCCTAGGCTCTAAACAATCAAACTAGAGCCTACTTTCAAATATTGTCCAAAAATGTGGTTTCAATATTAAA